ATGCCAGCAATACACAAGCTGTGAGTTGTGAACTAAGCCCAAAGAGATTTCTTTTTCACAAACCACCTAAGCTCTCAATTCAGGAAGAACTTTCAAGATTCTTGTGCCAGCAGCTCCCACATATGTATTAATGGCATTTTTCAACACTTCAGAATTATGAGAAAAGCATATGTACTTACCACATTGTATGAGGCTGGCACTGCCTACTAAGTTAATTTTTTTCTGCTAATACCTTCAGGAAAAGAACCCACAACCAAAAAACAGCAGTCAATATTTTCCATAATTAAGAAAAAGCTCCACTGATCCATATTTCAGCACAGTACTGTAGCTGGCAGTCCAGAAGAACCTCTTTAAAGTAATTAAGAAAAATATTCTTTTTTACCCTCTCCATTATATGTGATTTATCAGAGCCAGGGCCTGACAGTTCATCAGAAGAAACAAAAGTCTTGAAAGATAATTACCCTAAAACAGCCCACTTTATTTTCCCTTCCCTCTGAAGGGACAAGAGCTGCTTGTGTTGGACAACAAACTATGCATGGCACCTTATTTACAGTCTCACTTAGATTTAAAATCCTGGAGATGATTTTCTGTAAGGGCTCTGCACTACTCAGTAATTCCCTGTGTCACACCCGAGCTATCCCTGTAATTACAATTTCAGGATGAAGACAACGCCTCCACCTCGTGGCCAGCGACCAGAACACGGGCACTGCTCAAACCTTGCTGCCCTCCCCACCCAACAGAGCACCCCAGAACCAGCCCCTGCCCCTGTCTGCTACAGTCTATCCAACAGCAGCAAGTGAGAAAATGATGTTTGTTTACCAGGCCAGGCTGGAGCCCACCAGGAGCTCAGAAGCTCCTGGGTAAGTGAAACAGGGATCCCTGTCACTCAGGTAATTTATACACAGCTGCAGATCACAGAAGAATCTAACAAACCTCTTTAGAAACATGATGCACCTGAGACACTTTAAGATTAATAGCAGTAATCAATTTAAAAAAAAGGTCATTAATTAAATCTCAAACTTACCCAAAACCCCAGCCATCAATTGCACTGGCAAACACCACATTTCCATGTTCTGGTGAAAAATAGAGATGTGAATCATCAGTGTCTTCCAATCCAGTACTCCAGTCATAAATTTGATCTCCTGGTGAGGTATCTGAAAGGGTTTCACTTTCTGTTTCTTTTTCAGCTCTTTCTTCTAACACTTTGGAGGTAAACAGTGTTCCAGTGACTGCATTGATCTAGAGAAAGATATAGAAAAACACCCTCAGATTCATTCACTCTTTCACAACCCTTGCAATTAAAATGTAATTTTCCCACCCTTGAAAACATAAAAAGAGAAGCTGTGTTAACAAGCTAGCATGCCTGTGATTGATTTGGCAATTAAAGCACACCTAATTCTACACATTTGAAGACCACAGGAGTTTATGTTTTGACATAAACACCCTGAAGTTTCCAAGTCAATCACACCAGGGCAGAATCAAAGTATCACATGTAACACACTCTGTCTCTCAGAACAAGGAATGGTGAAATAGGAAATTGTTTCTGCCAACAAAGCAAACAACAAAGGGCAAAGGGAAACCAGGCAGATCAACACACCCAAGTGAGCCTGGGTGGGAAAGAAGTTTTGAGGGCAACTTAAACTACAATTCTAAAGATGAAACAACATTATTCCTACATAAATCCATCAGTATCAGGAACAGTCTCCAGTAAGTTTAGGCAATTTAAAAGAAGAACAAAACATTCAGCATAATACTTCTAAAAATGAACACTTTTCCTGATGACCTGTCAAGAGGCATTTACTACCCTTTTCTCCAGCATTCTGAATGAACCTCAAAACAAATCAGGAATAAGATGCACCTCAGTGTCAAAAATCAGACTGGATGCTACACAGTGCCACAAAATGTGCTGTGTGAAATGACACCTCAGCACAAATACCTGTTCTAAGATATTCTTAAGGTGCAAATATGCTTCCTGAGGGGTGAGCTTCAGCTCCACAATCAAGCGGTCGATTTTGTTAATCACCAGGACGGGACGGATATTTTCCAGCCATGCCTGCCGCAGAACTGCCTGAGTCTGAGAAGGAAAGAGTTTTTAAAAACCCATTACAAAAGCCTGACAGCACCAAAAGTACAGAATGTTTTAAAAAAAATCAAATGTAACTCTAAAATTTAATAAATATAGTAAAGGACAGGCTGACACTGAAACCAGAAGTTTGACTCCCACGATGTACAGTGTTATTTATTGAAGAATTCTGCAGAAGGGTGGGATTTCATGGCAAAAAACACCCAAAATAACAAAACTCAAACTACCTAGAAAAGTAAGCCATGGAAAAAACCTCGTTATTTTGTGTATTCTTTTTCAAACCCTGAAAGCCCACATAAATATATCCAATTATTTCTCCATCAAAATATTCCATTACACCTGCAAAATGGCATACCCACTGTTTCAACCCTGCTTCTCTACACCCATTAGCCAGCACTGTTCAGTTTTTCAGCAAAACTATTATTTTCACTACTCGCTTTAACAGCTCAATTGTATTGTCATTTATTAAAAATTTCGTAAAGCTTCTTGGACAGCTCATCTTTTATTCCTATATAACCCACTTCAGACTTTGCTTACTTCCCTCTTTCTCTACTTAATACACTTTATTTCACCTGTGGACAGACTCCTTCAACAGCATCCACCACTATGATGCAACCATCACAGAGTCGGACAGCAGTAGATACTTCTGAAGAAAAATCCACGTGCCCTGGGGAGTCTATTAAATTGATCAGATACTCCTGATCACCTAGGATCAAACAAATTAATATTTCAGAACAGTTGTCAGAGAGATTTCCTCCAGCCACCCAGTTATACTGCTTCAGCTATGATTTTTTAATGCCCTGACACTAACTACACTATAAAAACCTTTACAGCACAGTGTAACAGGTATCTCAACAAAGAAGTAAGACTGTACTAAAACTTGTGTCTTTTTGAAAGAAGGTCTTGCCTTTAAGTGATTCAAGACTTAAAATCAAAATATACGTACTTATATCTAAAATAAAAGATGAGGCAACTATGCTCATGGTCTCCACTCAGAGATATGATTGAAAATGTTTTTCCTGCCCCTGAGATGGAACTCAATTATCTTGGCTGACTTACTTGCCTAAGTCTCTGCAGAATTACAGCCTAACACTGAGAAACACAAAAGTAAAAGTTAAGTTACACACGAAGATCACAACAGCAACAATGAAGAGACGAGGAAAATTAACAGAAATGTTAATTAAAAAAAAAATTTATTAAAATTGGATATTAAAATTTATCCAAGCCAACATCCACAACTTACCTTTCACAAAGTGCAGTGAAATTGCACTAGATTTCATTGTTATTCCTCGGACCTGCTCATCTTCCCTACTGTCGAGGTATCTCAGCTAGGTATAGAAACAAAAGAAAAAAAATAATAAGCCTGTAGAAACATCTTCACAATTTACTTATCAATTGTCAGAGTATGATGGTGAGAAAATGAGGTCTATCAAGTCTATAGAGATGGAATTTCCTTAATAATGCAGAATTTACAATCCCAGCATGCATAGAGCAGAATTGTGTTAAAAGTGACAGCGTAACTCTACCTTTCCTGCCAAGCGGCTGGAGATTATTCCATTGCTAGATATAAGGCAATCAGCTAGAGTGGTTTTGCCTGAAAAGAAAAATTAATTACTTTGACTAAATGAATACAAACCATGGCAAAAGATGCTACATATAGTATTCTAATATACCAACATTAGTAAAGACTATAAAATGCCATGGAAAGTACAAATTAGCTTTCAAAAAACAAATCAAATTACTCCTGTTACATGCACACAAATTTATTTTTGAAGAGTGGATGCAAATTTACCTGTCATGACCAGAAGAGCAGTTGAAATAGCAAACAGTACATGAGGACCTCACTACAACATGCAATTATACAAAATGTTTACGTTCTAAAAGAAGTGCTTAATATTTCCACCTACATAACAAACTTGTTCTATCAAGAAAACATAGAAAAATATTATTCTGCCTCTCAAACATATATTAAATTCACACCAACATTCACCATCATAGCAAACATTCAATTTCAACTATTCATTCAATTTCAACTACTCATTCAATTTCAAATTATTATAGTGTGATACTCTTTTACGCAAGACAAGCTGAATCGGGCCAAGAAAAAGGTGCATAAAGCAGATTCACTTTCCTGAATCGTGTTCAAGACAGTTTAAAGCTAAATGCACAGAATCCTCCTACTTTAGAACAGCGAGCAAAGTATCTCACCACCATTCAGCCACACACAAGAGGAGCAGACACCACCCTGCCGTACCGTGATCCACGTGGGCCAATATACAGATATTCCTGATGCCGGACGCCTTCTTCTGGAGGCCAACCATCTTCCCCACGCTCGTGAGCACCATGGCTGACTAATTCTGCGAACAGAGCCAAGTGTTTCACTGTCAGCTTGAGGACAGGCTTTGGTTTTTAATGACGCCACCTGCGATCAGAGCCGCTCCTGAGGGAAGCTCCGGGACACGTGGGGCGCGTCACGAACCCTGCCCGCCGCGAGGACACCCGACAGAACCACGGGCCGTGTCTGCGCTTTGAGCACGCCTCAGGCTCGTGCTGCCAGCGGACACCGAGCCGTCCGCAGCGGCACAAACCTCACGGTTCCCCCGCTTCGCCTTCCCCTCCCGCCGCTGCGAGCGGGCACGGCCGCGCTGCCCGGGGCCACGCCAGGCGGGGCACAGCGCTGCCCTCCGGCTCGTCCGCGGGGCGAAGGCCGCGCCGGGGCCAGCCCCGCTGCCCGGGCCCTGCCGGCTCGGGGCACACGCACCGGCACACGCACCTGCGCCCGCTCCGCCGCCGCTCCCGGAAAGCCGCGCCCGCCCCGCTCGGCCGCTGCCGGGTCCGCCCCGTGACGCCGGACGGAAGCCGGGCCGGGGCGGGCCGGGCGCCGCCGGTGCCGCTCGCGGCGGCGTCCCTGGTTACCGGCCGAGCGGCCGAGCGGGCCGGGCATGGGGCCGCCGCGCTGCATCTGCGAGATCTGCTCCTGCGGGTGAGTGAGGCGGGCACCGAGCCAGCCAGCGCCGCCCTCCCTCCCTCGGCACCCACACCGAGCTGGCGGCAGCGTTATCGGTGTGCGGCAGGGTAGGAAGGCTCTGCAGAGCGACCTGGACAGGCTGCACCCATGGAATGATGCCGGTGGTAAAAGGTTCAACAAGGCCAAGGGCCGGGTGCTGCCCTTGGGTCACAACAGCCCCATACAGCTGCACAGGCTGGGGCACAGGGGCTGGGCAGTGCCAGCAGAAAAGGAGGCGGGTGCTGGAGCAGCAGCTGAAGGAGAGCTACCGTGAGCCAGGAGTGCCTTGGCACCGGGCTGTGGCAGGAGCGGGGCCCAGCAGGGCCGGGACAGTGCCCATCCCCTGCACTCAGCACTGCTGAGGCCACAGCTCGAGTGCTGCGTCCACCTCTGGGCTTCTCAGCTCGGGACTGAGGCCATTCTCAGGTCATTGAGGTGCTGGAGCGTGTCCAGAGAAGGGAAAAAGGTCAATCAGATCAATAGGGGAAGCGTCTGGAGCACAAGTGTTACAAGGAGTGGCTGACAGAGCCAGGAGTGTTCAGTTGGAGAAAAGGAGGCTCCTTCACCCTCTGCAGGAGATCGGGCTCAGCCTCTTCTCCCACACAACCAGTGACAGGACGAGAGGACACAGCCTCAAGCGGCTCCAGAAGAGCTTTAGGCTGGACATTAGAAAAAATGTCCTCACAGAAAGGCTGGTTGGGCATTGGAATGGGCTGCCCACGTCCCTTGGGGTGTTTTAGGAGAGGCTGGATGTGGCACTCAGTGCCATGGTCTGGTTGTCATGGTGGTGTTTGGTCACAGGTTGGATTTGATAATCTCAGAGGCCTTTTCCAACCTCATTGGTAACATGAGCAGCACCCTGGGCCACTGGGGAGTAGGACCCAAGTATGAGCATGTTCTCAGTAAAAGTGAAGTAGTGTATTTACATTTAAATCAGGTAAGGCTAAAAGAAGGTCTTAAATGGACTAAAATAGAACAGAATGGAGACAGTCTTCAAAAGCCACCCAGACTAAATCAGAATCAGGCTTTTCCAGAAACCAGAGCCAGCTCCCATTGAAGGACTACACCAAGGAACCTCTGGAAGAATTCTGGCAACCTTGTCAGAAACCTGTGCAAGCACTGCAGCCCTTGAAAGAGATTTAATCTATCTGCCCTCCTGCCATCACATCCAGTAGCACTCACCACTTTGCTTTATGTTCCATGATCCCATAGAGAGACAAACAGTTCATCATTCTCCTGTAGCCTCTTTGACCCAGGGAGGCTGGCACAAGAGGGTACAGTAGGCAATTTTTTATGGAAAATTACTAGTACAGGATAACAGGGGACTTGGACCTTTCCAAATTCAGATATAAATTTACAGGTTAGAGTCACAACTGTTAATATTTTCAATTTCTTCTCTGTCTACTTTTTAAAAAAATTCACAAAAATAATCACCCTAGGATTCAAAAATTCACTTCATACTAAAAAAAAAAAAAAAAATCTAACAACTACATACAAGAACATTCATCATAAGATCACAGAGGTGTGCTCAATGTTTATGGAGGTATAGAGCAAACCCTATGGTTGCAAAGTGCACCACGACCCACAAGTTTCATATCAAGGGCTGCAGAGCAGGCCCCCTCCATGTGTTTCTCTGTGGGAAGTCTGTCTGTCTGTTCATCAGCCACTTCTTTTGTTCTCTGTAGACAGAGGTGTGAGGCAGGCACTGAGTAAAGCTCCTCACGTTCTTTTTGGCCAAGCCTATGGTGAATTTTGCCCCATAAATTTGTTTCTTAAGTCCTAGATTAGTGAAGAGTTGGAACACTTTGTTTTCATGATGAGATAACAAACCTGGCTCGGGCTCAAGTACAAAGATGGTGAGATAACACAATGAGACAGCACAAAATGAGCTTCAACTCAACCAAAAATTCTCAATCCAAAAACTGACTTCAATAATATGAATAATTGAATTAAATATGCATAAAGCTTGTGGTTTAAAATAAACCTCACTGAAGTTTTTACAGTCAATAAAAGCTTAAGCCATTATTGGTTTAGGCAGCACATTGTGTTTGCTTCAGTGTACAGAGTTTCTGTTTTCAGGGGAAGGCTGCTTGGTCACTTGGCAGTGTTACCTGGACACTGGAATGCATACACAGCTTAGCAGAGACTTCAAAGCAACTATAAATATCTGATGTTTTGTAGACATTATCATTTAACTATCTGCAGGAAATTTTATGGAGTTATAATTACTGCTTAATTCTAAATAATAAAATAGAAGGAAGCAATCTCCCCTATCAGCAGAATTTAAAAAACACTGAAAAAACTTACAGGGGAGCAAAGCCAGTAAGACAGAACTTCGTTCTGCTTTCTCAAATTCAGGATGTTAAATCTGGCTTCCAAAGAAGAATAAAACCTGTGTGGTAGATGAACTTTCTGCACTCAAAAATAGTATTAGTCTGCTTCAAAAGATACTCACAGCCTACAAAAGCATAAAAGTTGTTTTGAGACACAAAAATAAACTACTGCTTTATCTCCTTCTCAGTCTGTCAACTTCCCCCATTTCTTGCCCTTTTGTTATCATTATCATAAAAATCTATATTCCTGAATAAATGAAAGTTAAAACAAAAGATTTCTCAAAAATATGGGACACTGAAGCCATCATACTGACCACGTATAAATACAAACCCAGTAAGAACTACCAGATCTCCTGTCAAGAACAGGAAAGTAGATGACTCAAAAACAATGTCCATCCATGATTTCTATCTGCCAGACCATAGTGTGTGCACTGGCAAAATTAAAAAGAAATTAAAAATAAAAGCTTTGAGCTGTGTTTGTAGAAAGGTAGTAAGTTTTCTATTACTACAAATATTAAGTTTTCCCCATTATTAGTCTAGTTCTCTGGGAGGAAAATGCTTTGTGGTAGAATTTCAAGGGTCTTGCTAGCATTGTATATAAAAAAAAGGTATGTATGCCAGGCCTGAAATAAGTTAAAATCATCAGCATCCTACTAAACCAGAACAAGAGCATTTGGCACAAGAGAGCTGATGTACTGTCACTTTTATTTAGCTGAGATTCTGTTCCTTATGCAAGAAACCTTATGCAAGACACAAGATAGTCTCCCACAAAGAAGGGAAAGAATAATAATCCATCAAAGCATTGCCAGTCAGGCATGGAAAAAGGGATATTCTCACCAAATCCATTCGAATTATCAGTAACTCTGGGGTGGAAATTAAGATAAATAAAAGGAAGAAATTAAAAATAAACAATGTCTCAAAGAGTGCAGGCCAAACTCTAAGCAACATATTTCATGTATCAGAGCTGTAATCTGTATTTTCTGATGATTCCTAGCATTGTGATGCCTTATATAATTATTTTTATAAAATTATCTAAATGAAAATTTGGGTTTAGAAATTGGACAACTTTCTAAATTTAACAACATTCTAAAGCAGATTTATCAGTTAACCAAAAAAACCCCAATCTCTTCTCCAAGTCAAATTCACAAGCTAATTTTACATCTTCAGGCTGACTGAAAGCACTTTCACCACACAGAGTAGGATGTAGGAACTTCCTCAACAATATCATCTGATTCCAAGTAATTTAGTGCAGTTAGAGTGTTCAGAATTAGTTTATACACTAGAAATGAGTGGTTTAAAGGACATTTTTGGATCAAAAATTAATTCAAATAAAATTCCAACCATCTCTTTCCTTGAAAAGATAAGAGTAGATTGCATTCACCCCTGTTTTGTATTTACCAAGAACTACAGGTAATTACTTTTCTAGTATCTATTTCAGTTCATAGCATGTCCATTCTGCAATACACAGGATATACTCACAACATTGCTTAAAAATATTCAGAATTAAGTCCTTAAAAATGGTGACCCCAGAACACAGAAGGTGTTTGGTGCTTGTGCTTGGTGCTTCTGGACCAGCTTATGGCAAACTGAAGGTGGTCAAAGTGAAGGTTTTGCAGATGGATAATGTTTGTTTCCAACTCCTTTGAATTGTATGCCAAAAAATCCACGAAGAACATTATAAATTGATAACCTGTATTTCAACCTGCTTTCAAACCATCCATTCAATGTCTTTTTTTTCTGCTTAGCTGTTACTATTAGATGCTATGTGACACAGTATGTGCTGTTTGTACTTGCTGAAAAAAACATTACTGAGGTGAAAGTGAATTTCATGACAAATGTAATGACAGGCAAACACTGTAGTGAGAAATAGCACACACTTACCTCCTTGTTTTCCTACCTTTCCTGTTCTTTCCCTCTTCTTCCTCTTTTCTTTCCTGCTGTGTTTTGAAAAGGTCTCTCAATTGTTAATTAACTTGATTGAAAAGGAGTAAACACCAGAGGCTTTGAAAGGATCTGAGTTCTTCGACAGGGCTACTTTATTTCTCATTTTTTAAACTACTGAGCTGGCAAAATCAGGCAGCACAAGCTAATACCAGCTTTAGGATCTCCAGTCTCCAAGAACTTCTTTCTGTGTTTTTTTCATTTTCATTTTTTCATTTTCCCAGCAGGAGACCTTCATATCTGTTTCTGTATTCTATTTTACCTTGCTTTAATTTATTATTTTCCTTTCTGGTGTTCAGTGCTAGCTAAAATTCTCTGCAGACCTTTGAAATGTTCTTTGGATATCTAGCTTCCTGAAACTTGAATTTATTTGTATTTACTAAGAGCTGTACAATTTTCCCCTTCTTGGGGTTTAGATAATTAACTTTTCATCACAGAATTTTACAATACTTGTTCATTTGAAAAAAAATTTATTGTTTTTTCCCTTTGCATTGCAAGTTGTCAGCCATAAGTAGGAGGAAAACCTGTCATTATGTATTTCCTTGAGGTCAGCCACAGATGTGCATTGTGCAAATTAGAACTAATACAACAAGATTTTCAAAACAATAACATTTAAATTTTAATTTTATGGATCATTAATTGAAAACAACAAGGCATAAATAAGGAATTGTCATTATATACCTCCCATTATACCTCCCTTTTTTCCACAATAGTGTCATTGATATAAGCATCAATGAGAAGCAGGAGGAATTGGAATAAAACCTATTAAGAAAAAGAGATGTCATTACTTTCAAATAAACATGTGTTTTGGATAGAGAACTTAGTCAGTCTGTCGAGGAAAAAAAGAGTTGAAAATTTATAAATGGCCTGCACAGCACTAGAAGGGCACATGAGATTTCACACCATAAAATTTTAATCAAAAAGTGTTAATCAGTAGTGGTGAAAATAGGTGAGATGTACAGAAATAAAAAGACAAGCAATAAAGTAATAGCAGTAAAACAGAGACGATATGAGACAGGAAATGAAGCTTGGTTAGTTACTTTTCCAGATAAAAGGAGGAATATCATTAAACATTACAGACAAGAGGAAAGTGCATCTTGGTGCTAGCACCACTTAGAGAACTGAGATCAACCCTGTCCATGCTTTGTATTCTGCACCAAGGACTAAGTCCCAGCTGATAGTGCTTTTATTACTGTATTAGCATGATGTGCTCTGGGACCTGTGCCATCAGCACAGTATTTTGTGGTTTTATCACTCAGAAAAGATTTTAAACAAAAACTACTGACATTGTTCAATCTTCCCCATTTGTTATTCACTCCTGGTAGACAGAATATGTGTTTCCCTCTTAAATGAAACGATTCAAAATTCTCTGCTCTGATGTGTTTGACCCAGACGCCACCGCTGCTGCCACAGACCCACAAAGATTTATGATGATGGAGTGAAACCGAGCCACAAAACTGAGTATGTGGAGAACTACCCTGGCTATGGCAACCTCTGCCCTCCTGAGAGCTGTAAGCCAAAACCAGAGGTCCAAGAGGATAAGGCGAGAATGGACGGCACCACAACGTTCAAGTAAATATTTTCAAACCATGTTTTAGAATTAGTCTGTTAAGTTTTTCATTCTTTGTTTTTTAAGTATTGTATTGCAATCTTCTCAAAATGTAGTCATTGCATCCTTTGCACTTTTTGCATATTTAAAATATAAATGTTGAGTCTAGAAATACAGTTACCAAAAAAGGTTATAAAAAATAGCAAAACATGTATCCAGCAAGATTTGCATTCTTTACAGAAGCCTTTATCCTGTAAAGAGAATTAAAAATTTTTGTCTTGTTTTCAGCCTGTTAGGAAATTTAGGTCTTATGGAAAACCTGGTGAGCTGGGGAATTTTCTGTAATTTATATGTAGAATCCAAGATAATGGAATCTTAAGACAAAAGTACAGGAATTCTTTTACTGATTTTTTCAATTCAGATTATTGGTTTTAAGAAAATTATTAGCTTTAAGAAAGCAAACTGTAAAGGGGTTCAGTATATCTGTCCTATCTCTGCACACACTCTGATTTTAAGCTTACAGAATTAAAGAGCATCTTTCAAAGAATTAGAAAAAAAATCACTCATTCACTGTTAGTGATGTGTCAGCAGCATCAACGTTTACTTTTTCCATTATTATTGTTTTTCTTTTAAGCTATGAGTGTATCTGGTGAAATTTCTTTGTTTATCAAAAAAAAAGAGACATAAATAGAAAGGCCATATGCTATTCTGCAGACTGCTCATGTGCTTGTATGGTCTATTTAAACACCCACATAAGTAAAAGACATCCTTTTAATGTAATGTGCTCATACAAAAACAGTGAAATGCTGTTTCTGATTATATTCCATTCTCCTCATGCAATCAGTAAATGCTACTACCACTTGTAATAATTTGAGCTTTGCTCTGCTTCTGCTTTCTGATCATTTCTTTGCAAAATTATAGGAACTTTGTAAGTCGCCTTTCAGACACTTTAAATAATATTGTTAAACTGTGAATAGGACTCAGAGTGTTAAAAAACTTACTCCACCATCTACCTTTGAGTAAAGACTCTATAATGCATCAGAGACCTAGATTTATGTACTGTGGTTTTCTCTCCTTTGTGCTATCCCTCCAACATGTGGTGTCTGATAGATTTTTCAGAGTAAACATTTTGTTATTTTTCCAAATAGTGGAAAAAATAGAGAAGTGGCTTCAGAAGGAAGAAAAGATTTTTTGACCAGTGTTTTCTTTTCCCCAATTCAGGTCTGATTATTTACCATATGAAATTGTTACGAGACCTTTTCGGCAACAAGAAGAATATAGACCAAAGTCAGGGAAGATTGACCTGGGAACCATTTACCAGAGAGATTACAATCCTCATAAAGTAGGACCAGTGACATTGGCAAGGCCTCGAGAGAGGAAACACACTTCAGATGCCAAAGTGGATACCATCCCAACCTACCGAGGTAATAATTCTGCCCCCTACAGAAAGGGAAATAACCCAGATGAAGGCAGCATTGGAATTACCTCTGTTGGAAACTGGATTTGTTGGTTTGGGACAGGGAGTAAAACATACTAGGAAGCAGGTGATGATGCCCTAAAACATTCAGTGCTCCTGTTGAGGGGAGACCTATTGCTTCTAAGCTAAAAGCCCTCTCTGAGGTTTGGTCAGGTACAAGGAAATTCCAACATGCACCTGGTTGGGCTATCCAGGCAAAACTGGATGGAAATTAAGGTGTGGTGTATTTTTCAAGTAGTTTTAGTTCATGTCACTTATTTTTCCACAGAGTAGGTCAAAAGTGGAGTTTAGGCTTCTGCTTGTGTAGAGTATAGCTTACATATACATCATCCCAGTAATGATCTGTCTTGACACAAATTATTCTATTATAATGGTCAGTGCAAAGGTGCTAAATCTAAGTAAAATGGAAGATATTGTATTTAAAGCATGTATAAGGCTATTTTCTGTATAGTTTCTGTTGAGCAAAAAGTCAAAATAGGGCATCAGGTAAAATTTTGGGGGTCTGTTTTTATCACTAATAAATCACACTATAATAGAAGGCAGTTTCATCAGATCACAAACATGCAGATAAAATTATCATTTTCACTTACATCCATTTTCCTTGTTTTGCAAGATTTAATACCAGAAGACTTGGTCTTCATTTTAAAGGACTGGTTTTAAGTAATAACACCTGTGTGGTGGAATTTTGGTTTTGCCTTACAGATCACTACAGGTTATGGAAAAGTCAAAGAACAGAATCCTGTAAGTTGGTACATGACTACGAGCCACCTTCGGAGAGGTTTGGAAATCCTTCCACGTTTCAAGATGACTACATCCCCAAGCAGCCCAATCCCCCCCCAAGCTGCAAACCTTGTGACAGCAAGCTGCCAGAGGGGCCTTTTGATGGCAACACCATCCATCGCACGGCGTACGTCGTCCATGAGTTGGGGCCCTTGTTCATCAGGCCAAGGGAAGAGTACAAGCCAAGTGACCAACCCTTTGAAGATCTCACAACCCACCAGAGAGATTTTAAAGGGATGCCTGGGGAACAAGCAAAAAGCTGCAAGCCTGAAAGTCAAAAACATGGATCTGATGATCCTTTTAAAGGAACCACTGAATTCCAGGATCGCTATCAGCCATATTTGGTCACCGTGCCCGAGTTCCACAAACCAAAAGAGTACGTTCCACCCACAGACAAGATGGACCTCAAGTCCTCAAACCGTCTGGATTACATTAAACACAAGGTTGCTCCTAGAGCCCCCATGAAACCAGCTCCTGGAAGAAAAAACACTGGCCCTTTTCAAGGGAAGACTACTACAAAAGAAGACTATCAACCCTGGAGAGTTTGTCCACGAGGGCCTATTAAGAAAGAAGAGGAAATTCAAAAGCCCACAGGAAAATTTGCTAGTTTAACTACATTCAGGTCCCATTACATACCTCATCAAGCCAATCCACCTCAAAGTTTCAAACCTGTAGAGGTTGTACCTACTGGAGTTCCTTTTAAAGATGAAACTTTGTATCGCACTGAATACACGCCAAAGAAGCCAGAGGTCTGCCCAGGACTCAATCCAGATGCTGTGGGTTATGTCTATGTCAACACAGATTCTGAGGGTCACAGATTCTACCGCCGGCTGTCCCCAGAACCATCCGGGTCAGACTGCAGTCCTGTTCCAGAGGAAGTACCTGCTGTGTCATAATACTCACCTGCAGTATTGCAAGCACCTTAGTTAAATAATTGGAAACCAGCTTGTTCATTTTCTCTTTAACACTGAAAGCAAGTTAAATACTGCAAATTTTGCTTTTTAGAAGTTTGAAGAAAACCAAAGCCAAACCAAAGTTCTCATTACGAGACTAATAAAGATTTGCCAAATGCTGAAGGAGCACTACTCCCTACATGGCATCTGTGCTTTTTCTGATTGTGCATTCTAGTTTTCTTGATTCCCCAGATTTCATCATGCTCTATCTCAAGCATCTTTATAACACATTTAGTTATTTGATATTTTCTGCAATCAAATTATTGTATTTGTGAAATAACAAGTGCCTTTTGCTGATAAAATATTTTATACAGTAAGCAAATAATGCTATTTAAAATAATCTAACAAATCAGTCATAATCTCGGGAATCTGTAAGATTTTTTTTCTTTGTATTTTGTTGCTCAGATCACAAGATAGCGTGCTATGACACCTAGGTATTTCTAAAAACCTGATTTTGGCTGTAGTCATCACTACTTTAACTTCATTCAGATCTAAAGCGAGTATAAAGGTCCCACTGTAATTTCTAGTAGCAATTAACAGGTGGTAACCTCATCTTTTTCTGTTCATGTAGTTGAAACCACTCAACCACCAAAAGCATGTCATTAGACTGTTTCCTAATTTCCCTGATCATGCTCTTTCAGCCTTACTTCCAAAGAAAACAAAACTGATGCATCTTGGACACACTGATAGACTTAGTGCATGTCTAAATCATCTTTAAAGCCAGTGTACAAATTCAGTCAAATCTCAATATAAGACTGCACAGATTTACAGAAAAGAGAGTAAACTCAGGTGAAAAAAGAAATACCAGCTGAGATGCAGAAATCTGTTGGCAGCCTGGCTTCAGTCTGTCTGCTTTTCAAAGAATTGCTTGTTCCAAATACACAGACACCATTTTTTACAGAAATTTTATATGAAATTGCTTCTGTGTGAAATATTTAGTGTTTCCTCTATGTATTTTAGCTGATTTTGAAAAATCCAAATGAATCAATTTTAGTTTTATTACATTCATGATTTAATAAGTAAGTCCCAATTAATAGTTCTGTAATTAACTGTATTGTCATGCTCTACCACACTACTCCAGTTTGATTTTTTTTCTCAGTATTGTATATCTTACACCCATTGGTGTAGAGCACTATTTGGGTTCTGCAGAATCATGTGGCTGTACTTCATAAACAATGTCTCTTGTTAAAGGGCTAAGATCAATGATGGGAATATTTTTAAAGCAGGAACTTGGTCATATGAGAGCAAGAAAGCTGAACTGAGCAAATCAGCTGTGCACAAAAGCATTGCATGAGAGGCATCCAGACAATATTAGAGCATCAGTCACTTTTACAGAACTTCTGTCTTTGTACTGTGATTTTGTAGTATCACTAACTCTGTTAATGACATGGCAAATCAGTTTTACTTTTCTGTTTGAAAATTATTCCCCTCCCTCAGATTGTGAATGAACAAGGACAATGTAAATCTGTGAGATCCTAAAAGCAGGACAGGAAAAAGTCCAGTTGATTGTCATCTTTCTGTACCACAAAAGAAAAAATACACTCTATTGAGTCATTCTCTGTCATGCCACAACTGAGGAAACAAAGCCAAAACTTTTGAGGAAACAAAGCCAAAACTTTGCACAGTCACACCTACTCAGGTCCACATGCTTTACACAGTCCTGGTACCTCTGGAGCCATTTACAGAAGCTCCCAATGCCCTCCAACTCTCCACTCTAGGGAGGGAGAAATGCAGTCTGAATCCATGAAGTTACATGTGCCTGCATACTCTGCTCAAAATGGCTCTTCTGCTGGGCCTGTGAGGGAGCCCAGATGCTTTTTTAAATTTTCACAGCTGTTTTTTCAGTTCTGAGGTCACTTCCCTCCCTTAAGTTATGGAAAGTCATTTGCTGCCACCTACCAGCACGGTACAAACATTTTGAGAGGAAGGGAAGTGGAGGGCATATTCAGATACATTTAACAGTTCCTCTGCAGATGTGTTTCAAGGCTTTTTTAGGGTGGAGGGGCATATTTCCTTTCATTTTGTCCATAATGTTTTCCCCTAAGTTTAATAGTGAAAGAGAGAAGCCTTTATTACTTTACAATTGAAAAAAGCCCCAACACACTGATTGTGCTTCCAGGAAAAGCATCAAATGATATTATAAACCTTCAGACACTATTCAATACCTGACGTCAACCTTCTCATAAGCAACAAATTACTGAAATGCAGACCAAGAGAGGAGACGGCTGGAAAACTAATAGTTTTCCAAAATAACAGCTGTTAAAGAAGCATTTTATGATGTCATGCTAAACCAAGATGTAAAGGAGAAAAACTATTCATGGATTCAGCTGCTATTCTGAGAGTGCTTTCTCTGCACTCTGCCATCCAGCAGCAGGCTCCACAGCACTGCTGTACAGAGCCTTTGCTTTTTTTAAAAACTGCACAAATGGAATTCAAAAGGAAAATTAAGCCTTTGCCAATATTGTTATCTAGGATAACTCTGAAACATCACCATTAAATTGCTATGCATTTATTTTCTATTTAATAAAATTTTCCTTAAAGCTTTTATTGTTCATACTATTTTTTAGACTATTCTTTCTAAAGACTACACATATTGGATATTCTGAAACTATTTCTTTTTCATTGAGGTATTCCCATCACTCACTAAATACAAAACATGGAGCTGTTCTGTTAGATCTAAACGAACTCTGCTTGATGAAGGCCCAGAAAAGAAATTCAAATTTACTCCACCTTTTAAAGAATCCTGATTCTAGATTTCAGTGAACCAGAGCTGACATTTGGATTTTGGCAAATTATCTTCCCACTTTTTCAGTCAGGTTACATCTATGTTGCCTCTTAATATCAGTGCAAAGCAGACTGCAGTGAAAATGGACAATATGTCTGATAGACTGTTAAAAATAAGAACTAATCCAAGGCTTTTAAAAACTCTCAGAATTATGGACAAAGTAATTAGAAAAAACAACAAAGAACAACAGCACAGTTACCATGCAAATCATGGTAATAAACAATATCAGGGTAATCACAGTGGTGAATAATCAAACTATACTTTATTTCAGAAAAATGAAAACTACGATGAGGAAGCTAAAATCTTCAGGTACTGGAGAAGCAATAAAATAATCTACAGAGGAATGTCATGCCCATTGCAATCACAAACATTTACAGCACTGCTTTGGTACAGCATGCATACTTAACCAAAGTTAAAGCAACAAAAAATGCTATGTGTTAACATTTGAAAACTTTAAATATAAAGGGAAAACATGAATAAGAAATTTTGGTAATAAGAAAAAATATATGTCCAAAAATCTTTATTAAACACTGTACAAAAAAAAAATATTGCACTTTAAAATCAGACAATAAATATCTACAAAAGTATCTTACAAATGTTTAATTTAAAAAACTGCTTAAACAATCAAGACCCATTGCTGATGAAAAAGGTAATGATCAGGAATATCCTCTCCTTGCAGTCAGCCTTGGACACAATAGTCCACCCTAAACATTTTCTATACAGTAGTGCTACCCTAATTCTCAGTGATGCAAACCCTCTGTGCAGGATGCTGTGTCTGAGCTGCCCCACAGCATTCCCAGCCCTCTGCCTGTCACACAGGTCAGAAAGGGAACAAGAGCCAAGTCAAAGTGAGCATTCAGGCCTCCAATATGAGCAGTAGTTTGGAAACTACAAAAGGAAAAAGACATCTATTTTCTGCCTCCTGTGGGGTCCTCTCTGCTTAAAGCCCTAGTCAGACAATCTGCAATATGGAAGATAATTTACCCAAGAATATTATGGTAAGAATTTATCAACTTGCAAACGACTCAGATAGTTAATGGTCATGATGGAAAATCCATCTTGATGGAAAAATGCTCAAAATAAATTTCTCGCACTTTTCTATCTTTGCAATTAATAATTCTTCCTTGGACATTTTCCCCCATTAATGGAGAAAAATAGAATGATTATTCAAGACAAGGAATCTGACAGCTATTTTGGCCAGTTACTGGCTTCTCATTTGACTTGATGTGCAAGAGAACAGTGCTCACAAGTGTTTGTTCACAGCTCTGACAAGGAAACTTCTGTCTCATTTAATATCAGTACAAAAGTATAACCATGCCAGAACTTTGTACTTCAGAGACTGGAATTAGAATAGAAACAATAAAAAAAATGACACCTCATTTATTCAAAAGAGATCTATTGCTGCTTTGAAAATTGTATTAGGATCTATAGCTTCTTACTGCATACACAGAAATACAAGCAGGAAAAATTCAATGTACTTCTGTGTATCCATCTGAGAGCAAGTATCCATAAAGCACATCCTGTGAGATCAACCCTTAAGCTCAAGCTAGTTATGAAAATGAAACTGCTGCCAAAATTTTGCAGCTACAAGCCACAGCTTCTGTAAATTTAAAAATGGTGTTAAATATGATGAAAAAAACCCCAAACCAAAATCCTGGGAGTCAATAGTTGCTGCATTTCCAAAAGTTTTTGAAGTATTTTTGTGACTCTTCCTCATAAGTTAAGGACAGTAACCAGTATTTGTAAGAGCAACAAATACTGGTTAGGTAATGTTTTTTTTCACAGATAAAATTATAAATGATAGCCTGGAAAATTTTACAGATGATATGCCATAATATTATCTTGCTAATCCATACCTGTTTAAAACATTGGAAGTTCCATTGCAAAGAATGAAAAATGAAAGCTCCCAGAAACAATACCTTATCCAGCACATCAATCCACAGTGCTGTGCTTTCACTAGCCCCACGTCCATTTAACTGTTACAACTAATGTCTCATTTACAAGAATATACTTTAGGCAGGTTAGTTTAATGAACCACCCTTCTCATCTCTTCACTGCAGCATCATGAACTTGCCATAGAGGACTTACACTTCTTGGCATGATTGACAACATCTTTGTTTGTAGGTGTCTATCAAGCATAACTTTAGTTGCTTTACAAATGTACAGTAGTGAGTTGTATCCTTGCATTCGCCTTCTGAAAAATATATTTAAACATTACAAGGCTTTATAATGAGCAAAAGAGAAATAGCAGAGCTTGCCATTGTAATTGTAAACAACTGATGGATTCCTGTTAGCTTTGTAATTATTTTAGTGTGCATTTCTGGCAGCAGTGGATTCAAAGCTAAACAAAGTCACAAGCGAGAGGTGTGATCTCACTGCATTCATTTACTCATTGTCTGTTTCAGAACACAACCCCATCTTGGAGGCATTAACAGCTCGCTCAGAGACTTTTGAGTCACAACTGGCACAGTCGTGTAGGGAAGTTTGCAAAAAACTTCCTAAATATCCTGTTTCTAAAAGTGCTTTTGAGGCTTTAATATCAAACTGGCCTACTTAGAGAAAAGAAACCCCAGGATTACGAAGTGCTCCTTGGAGAGGATAGTTTTACCTTTGATGTACAATCAAATGCTTGTAGAATCAATAGTGTACAACTGTGAGCCATTTTCTAATATAACTGCTACAAACTATTACTATGCTCGTATTTAAATAAACATTTACATACTGCCACAGGATGTGACACTGCAGTGTTGCCAGGTCGCTGGTCTCTTCCTCCCTCTGCAGAAGTGCTCAGCCACGGGTTTGTTGCTCTGCCTGTGCACGCAGGACACGGGTCTGGACTGGAACCCAGTCCCACAGCCCACACTGCAGGGCCTCCAGGGGCCTGGCCTCCAGTACACATCACACCCCTCTGAAGAACAGTTCCTTCTGGCAGGAGGGCTGTGCAGGGGAATAAATGGCAGGGAAAGGTTTGCTTTTGTGCTAAACCCTTATTCACACAACAACAGAACTGAGCAGCCCCCACAGCCCTGATCACAGCACAGCCAACTAGACCAGGATCCTCAATATTTCCTGTGTTTGAATATCTCCAAAGATGGAGATGCCACAACTTTCTGGGTAACCTGTTCCATTTTTTCTTATATTTATGTTGTATTCCCTTTATTTAATTTTGTGCTCACTCATCACGCCTTCTCGCTCATGAGAAAACATGAGTTTCTTTAAACCAATTTCTTAACTCTGGAGTAGAAAAGGTATTTTATCTTTAAGGAAACTTAACTGACCCTTGAACACTCCATACTGGATGCTGTGTGTTCTTCAGGCATAACCCCTCCTGGGTTCCTGAATTCATCCAGTGTCCACAAAGGGATGACTCTTTCCCTTGTTTGACACAGAAGAAATTGCCTACTTGTACTGCAGTGACAATCCTGTACCTTCAATTTGATCAGCTAAAGAATCTAACATGCAACTTCTCCCCACTGTTTACCTCTTTCTTTCATCACAAGAAGAGTTTGGCACTGAGGATCCATTCTGGAGCTGACATTTGAACCCACGGTGCTGTGAACCTGCGGGGCGGCCAGCACAGCGGCCAGAGCACTGACAGTGGAGAGAAAAGGGTGAGGGCAGAGACAAAGAAACAGCCAAGTTAGTAACAACAGCATTATCCTCCTGGAGTTACCCAGCTACACAGCCCAGCCATGATTTTTTTGCATTTTGCCTCCTTCAGCCCTGTCACACCTCAGTTTGGATAAGGCCTACATATTTTTGGTTGTCTCTGTGCAATCTTGCCAAGACTCTGACTTTCCTTCCTAAAGCTAAATCCATTGTCCTCTCTCATCGTGCTACATCCCTCCTGCTACAGAATTCTTTCTGTAGCTCTGCCCATTACAAACATGCCTTGCTAAAACCTGTCTTGGGAATGCAGCAACAGCAATTCCAATTAATTACTTTGCACATTGAACAGTAAATACAAACCTTATCAAGATGAACACAAGTTTGCTGCATGAAGGAAGAAACAGAAAATATAGGAGGACAGACTTCTGTGCATTCTGTGAGTTAAACAACTTCAATGTGCTGTTGAAGAACATTCATATATCTTTTTTGGGGACTTCAAAACTACAGCTAGGCAAATTGTGTACTAACATGACTGCAATAAAAGCAATAAGCTAGCTTGGAAAATGGAATACATCTTAATGGCTTAGCTTATAAAATACATTGCAGCTAATGCTCTGGTTTCACTTCATGCCATCAACAAAAAAAAGTTGCATAGAGAGCATAAAATGAAAAAACAAGATTTCTAATTGTCTGGTCTGAAAGATAATTACAGCCACAGAGTTTGGGCCTTGTGCAAGAGGACAGATGTTGAGGCACACAAGGACTGATGTTGAGGCAGTTCATCAGACAATGGCACTGCCCCACTTCCCTAAAACAAGGAGGCTGCAGACAAACGCTGTCACTTACCTGTGTGGTGGTCTGTGGTGGCCCCAGGGGACAGGGGTGCCCTGGGCAGGGTGTCCTTGCTGCAGGCTGGTCCCTGGCTGTGCAGGCTCCTGGCAGCAGGGCCAGGACACTGCCATTGGCCATGGCCTGGTGACAGGAGAGCTGCCGGTGCCGAAATCCACTGCCACAGGATGCAGAGCACTCAGACCAGGGCCCAGCTACCCACCTACAGGATGCACAGAATACACATTTACAGCAATTATTGCAGTCCTGGAGTAGCTGGCATCAACTGTTTGCAAAGAAAATGGAAAAGAACCTGTCCTTGCAAGTTTTAGATGTGAGAATGGTTAGAATCCACTTCTTCTTCACTTGAGGCAGGTCTTCTTAACGTGGTTAACTCATGTTTGCTACAAACAATGTTTGCTACCAGAATCTGTTACCAGGTGAGCCCTACAGACCCTGCTGGATGTGACATTCCAGGAGGAAGGAGAGTGTACTTTTCCATTACTTATAAAATGGATGGTAACAATTTAGTTGGTACTAAAGTGACAGCTGCCATAACTTATCCGAATTTATTACATTGAGATCTCACCAGACAATGACTCGAGCAGAACATGTTATTTATTGATTAGAAGTTGCAAATATTTAGTCAGTCTTGGCAGCTAGGAACAATACTAGGGAGGCAGCAGGTGGTAATACAATCAAATTGACTCTCTCTTTGCATAAATCTAGAAATATAAAATGGACTTTATGTGTACCCCAGCAGTGATAACGGGAAAAAAATTCTATTTTCTTCAGCAATTATTTAATTCTCCTACACTCAAACAGCTTATATCCATTCAAGGAAGATTAATCTTTTACAGTCTGTGCCCTTCTCTTTTTCTCTCTTTTAAAGCTGAAGTACTTTGCAAACATTTGGTGCAGGGCTTGCACAGCAAAGCACAAGTTAAGTAGATACTCAAGGCCTTATATTTGCTTAACTCTAGCTCTCCACTGTGACAGAGAGAAGTGACTAAACACATGCAAAACTCTTTGAGTAATTAAGGTCATATATCTAAACATCTAAAGGCTTTATAATTCTATTATAGCTGCCTTGAGATGAGAAGATTGCGCAGAAATCAGTAAGGGGGAAATGGAATGGACATTTTGCACTTCCCTCCCAAGTCAGCAATCACAGGGAAGGAAAGATGCTAAAGGCACCAAGAAACATACACAGGGCTATTTTCCAGGCATCTGGAATGCTCTTCCTGTATAGAAAGCATGGAATATTCCATAAAAGAAGACCAATTAATATTTTAGCATACAAGTATGGCTGGAGGCAGAGTTAATTATGTTAATATACACACAATTGCCTTCCATTGGTGATTACATAAAGACAAATTAAAAGCAGAACAAATCTAAGCATATAAAAAGACAATTCAGTTCCCATTCTCTTTAGCTATATGAAAGAACCAGTTTGTTTATGTTGCGAATACTGCAAGGCCAGTGAAAATCAGATTATTTAGTCATGTCCTGCAATCCACTGAAAGGCATGACCTTGCTCAGAGGAGCCCCAGGACCTCTTGCACCCTCCTGTCATCTGCTCCAAATACTGGAGCTTCAGAGAGAAATCTGCAACTGAAGCTGTGTTTCAAACTATTAGTTTGATTTCAGTATTTTTCTACTGGCAAAATGTTAGCTTTCTCTGGGCTGGCTGGAGTTCAATATCACAATTTAAGATAATCTGTTTTTTGGCTGCTAATAATGAAATATAAACAACTTCTCCTGATACATATCTGTGGCTAGGTTTTCTGCATTTAGAACAGAATTTAGAACATACTGGCAAGATGCACTCTCACAATGTCAGCTAAGGTCTTAACACTTCCCTGCCAACATTTTCCAGTGAGGGACAACTCTAAAGTGTGTGTATCCCCCACAGAGTTTTGCTGATAGTGATGGCCAATTCTTTAAAGCAAGAAAAAGCATTTATTTTGAGGATCCTGTGGGGTTTCCTGTTGAAAACCTGGAGAAACACCCTGTTGAGCTGGAATGCTCAGTGCAACTCAGATACTCTAGAGGTGTATGGTTTTGGCCTTTGGAATCAGATGTTGTGATACACTTGTCTGTGATATGAATATTTTCAGCCCCATGATCCCCAGTTGATCCAGTGACAAAACTGGCAGGGAAGGACAGTCAAGGAGCACTGTGGTGAGGGGCATTAAAGGGAAATGAGGCATTCCTCAGAAAACATCTTACTGAGAGGGGCATTAAAGAGAAATGAGGCATTCCTCAGAAAACATCTTACTGAGAGCCCTGCTGGCACAAAGTAGAGCAGGAGAACACAGAGTTACCCTGGCCTCTCTGAACACAACAAATTTTCCCTCTGGGGTGGCACAGATTCCACAAAACTGCACATACCCGTGTCTCAGGGAGATCTCCAGCTTAGCTCTTGAGGTGTGGTGTGGTAGCAGCATGGAGACACACTCAGCTCTTATTTATTCAGCTGAATCAAGCATTTCCCTACTTGCTTGGGATCCATTTCCACATCTCTCCTGCTTTAAGGTTCATGGTGAAGTAAACCCCACATTCCACACTCAGAGCATAAACACAGAAACAATTTCAGGAGGTGGTGAGTGCATTTTCATACACAAAGAGCTCATGGAAATAGAGCAGAAGGGAGTTTACCTGGGAGGGCAGGGCTCTCTGTTGCAGGGCTGGTAAACAATGCCTGGCTTTTGCAGCTCTCTGCATTGGGACTCATTTACTTTCTGTTTCTCTGTGTTCATGCACTGCAGGCTCCTGGAGCGGGTTCCTGAATGCCCACAGGTGGCAGAGCAGGGACTCCACTCAGCATATTCCCAGGTGTAACCTAAGAAACACAATTGGAAGCAGTGTGAGAGGCACTGTACACTGGAACTGTGTCACACTTTGATTGATTTGGCAGCACACTCTGTAGGCTGGATAGACACCACATCCTCTGTAGAAAAGCAAATATTTCAGTGCTGTGAAAAGGGACCACGGGCCAAAGTAGAGTTTAGTTCTGCTCAGCTTCCCCTCCAGTTCAGCCCTTACCTACGAGCATGAAGCCCTCTAGAAGGCAAATGAGATCAGCACATGAAGGGCAGAACCTGGCTCACAGTAGGAACTGATGAGCTTCCTTTAAAACTTTCATAACATTTTTATACAATAAGCATTAAAAAGAGGAAATTGTAAATCAGGCTCTCTAGGTTTCCTGCTGTTCCACAGCAAGTTTGTCCTGAACAAAACTCATCTTACTCCAGACACCTCACATAATTTTAGGATTTAAGAAAATCCTGTACAAAACTACAGAGAAGTATTTAATGTAAAAATAATTTGCCACTGAGGCATCTGGCAAGATGAAAAAGGAATTTGTTCTAAAGAGCGTTTTATATTAAAAACCGATCACCTCTAACAATTACTACCTTTATATTTAGTCAAAATTCCACACTTACCCCTTCCTCCACAATTTTTTTTGACACTTGGTAAAAGATGAAGTACTATGCAATGTTGACAGATTTTTATGTGATCACAGAAGGAGTCAGGTTTTTCTATAATAACCAAGAATAATTGATAGCTACCAGCTGTGTCCACAGACTCACTCTTGCAGCACATAATGAATTCTTTAACTTATTGTTTTTCAATGTTTCCTTATTACTTCTGGATTTCTTAAAATAATACAAAAGGGCCTTTTTCAAAGTAGAAATAGTTAAATTTACTGACTGCAGCTATGATGGAGAGACTGTATTGTTTGTTTAACTAGGATGACACTGCTCAGAAGTGCCCTCAAAATGCCTACCGTGCAAAAACCACCGAGGGGGTTTTACAGCCTCACAAATGCATGGGTATGGCAGTGATGAAACATTTACTCAAGTGTCAATCACAGTTAAAGCTCAGAACTAGAAAATCAATCACTCCAAAATAGTGCCCAAGCTGACTGGAGAGGGGATTGGGCAACCACAAGGCAGTCCAGCTGAGGACTGCAGGTGGACAGTTCAATCAATAACTGGCAGAAATTACAACTGTAATGAGACCTAGATTAGGATCTAGGGCTGGACCTAGTTTTTGAAAAGTTCTATTAGGGTGTTTTCTGATTTACATTTGATTTTTAAAATTAAATGTTTTGATTGTAGATATATCTCAGTAAGATTCCTTTGCAAATGTAACTTCCTTCATAACCTCAGGCACTCCAGAGCCCTCCTCACCCATGAACAGTCACCAAAACATCCTCATGGAGAGCACAGGGGATCTGAACCTACTGCTTGAGTCCCCTGCACATCAGTCATAAGCCAAATCAAACTGATATGTGAAGAGATAAAGCATATAGAAAAGCTTACAGTAGATTATGCTGGGGACCCTTACAAGACATTCTTGAGAATTTCACATGGAAATTTGTGAGTGTGCAGTGTGCTCTAGTATATTGATGTGATTAAGGGTGTCTGCAGTAAGATCACTACCATATTAATTGTGATGATCCTGGAATATGACAATTACATTAAAATTATTTTTATTATAATGAAGATACTTCCAAAGATGACCTCAAAATCAGTTTTGTTCCAGTTTGGTAGGCTACCATGGAGAAGTTTGTTGAAGGGGAAGTTGATAAAACCTGTCTGATTTAAAACTGTTTAAGCAGAAAGACACATTCTCTCAGCTTCTCAGATACAAAGGCAAGCAGAAAGAACCCCCACAGGATATTTAGATACACATTAATTACCATATCCAACTCTGAGCATGGCTTTTTCTACTGACTTAAATAAGACCATACGTGAAGCAATGTATTGCTGAATTACTTTCAACAGAGAAAAGAAGGTTAGTTATCAGGAAAGTCTTTACAGAGCAAAAGAAGATATTTTAAAATTCAAGAATTTGTCATATAATTGTCAACAAACCTTCCTTCTTGACATTTACCCAAACTGACATTAGTTTTGCACTAGCTGAAGTCCGACATTGGAATTGTCCAGCAAATTGACCAGAGTTGGTGTTCACCTCTAGGATACGACCCCCAACCAGGGTTCTGTATTCCAAGGTCTGAACTTCCTCAACTGGGCTGTCTCCAAAGAGCCACTGGACTGTATTCCTGTGACTGGGCAGCACTGGGCAACCTAAAAATCAACAGTATTTTAGCAGGTTTTTCTCAGCACATTGAAATGTTTGTGAACATGTACAAGTGTGTGAGTCTACATAAAGGACATTACCATCCTAAATGAAAACAAGAATATGCATAAACCCACTAAAGTCCAAGCTAGGGCCCAAAATCCTGACTGGCCCTTGAGGGGTATGAGCTCTGTAAGCTGATGTGTACTTACCACACTTCTCCATCAGTTCCCTTTCAGTAAGTTCTTATAAACTTAACTTCTATAGGAACAAAGTGGAAGGGGGGGAGCAATGATTTAAATGGAGCAAAGATTTCATCCCTACATCCCTACAAAGATTTCAGACTCTACAGTATGCAAATAGGTCTGCAATTAAAGAGCTTCTATCTGTTTGGGGCAGGAGTCATAAATGCATTAAATGAAATTGCTGCATTTTCACTCCTCAGGGCACAGACAGGGCTGGAAACAAAGGCATTCATTTAGACAGAAAAAAACACAAACAGAGCCCAGCTGAATCCCTTCCATTTTTTCAAGTGAAACTCAAAGAGTAATTGCATGGCTTTAGTGTCAGGGTGATTCACCTCACAACTGCACTCTTTTCCATGGGGCCCCCTCTATTTTAACAAAATAAATAATAGTAATGAAAAAGCAGAAAAGACAACACACCTATCCTTAGTGGATCACCAGGTGCCACAGTGACATTTGTACCAATCCCAGATGCCATCAGGACACGCTTCCTTCTGCTTCCCTTCAATAACTGAGTGTTATTCTCTGCAAGTCTTTGTTCTGTAACACAGTGCATAAGATCTCTTCTGAGCAAGAATTAAATCATGATGCCAAAAAACATTTCATATCAAAATATCCAGCATGCTAGTTATGAAGCAGAAAGATAATAGCAGTTTGGAATTCTTTAGGATCAACTTCATTTATGCAGTTAAATTATCAGTCTAATAAACTACAGGTGTATGGGGAAACAGAAATTATTTATGTTTGTGCAAGTTTCTGAATAATTCAATAAATCAATACATTTATTGAATTTGTTAGAAAAAGAAGCCTGTAATGGTATAAAAACAAGACTTACAGGATGTATTTCCTGTTGATCATGACAACATTATTTATTATTTCATTGCACACATAAATTGTAAGCAAAATAATTCTCTCGATGGAATCTGGCCAATTCCTCTTTTCCATTAGGTAGAATTGTAACAAAATGTTATAATACAAAAAAGAACATCTTTTAAAATCTCATTATGCATAGAGATAGCAGGATGAATGCAGAGTCAAATGCCCATCACTATAGCAACTCCTCCTTTTTCTCATATGCTGGAAGAATGACTGCCAAATATGTGGGCAATCTGTCAGTAACACACAGTTCTTACCACTTAGTCAACATTTCTGTTTTAATGAATGTACATAACATCTATGTCTCCTTCCAGAAGGGTTTAAATCTTTTGCTATATTCCAAATTCTCTGGGTCATTTTACATTGGCTCAACATTTTTCCTCAGTGTGTGATTTCTGTGCAAAGCCTCCTGCCTGTCTGTAAACACCAGGACAAAAAAAAGTCTCTACAAAACCACACTGAGGCCAGTTCCACAGGCAAAGGACTGGTTGCCTTGTCAGCCCTTAGGGAGTTTTATTGGAAAGGCTGCACAGACTCTGTGCTACTGCTGGACTGGCCCTGATCAGGCAAGCAAGTCCTGTAGCCAAGCCAAAAATCTGATGGCATGTTCCACACAGCACTGAGCCACTGCAATCTGTTAAGTCCTGACAGCAAAAGTCCTCCCATTTCACTGCAGTCTTGCACAGCCAAAAGCTTGCAGAATTTGGCCCTCTCCTATCCACCCCAGATTTATTCAAACAAATGTCACATGACCAGGAATTGAAACAAAATTTAGACTCTTGTGAGCAATCCTCCAGTCACGTCATTATAATAATATTCCTCTCTGGAACATCTGAAGTTTTGATGTACTCCAGGAAAACTGAAAGCAGGAAGGCAGCTTCAGTCTGCACTCATCCTCTCACAGAGGCTCCTATTCTGTCTCTAGGATGTCCTCTTCAGCCAACAGACCCAAACAGCCACAACCTGCCCCGGGTCTGTGCCCAAGAAAGGGATCTTTGTAGCAGGATTGGTCCTGGGGAGCTGAGCTGCACTTTGCACAGCAAAGGGGTGGGACAGCTCATCTCTAGAGCCAAATGATCCAATGACTGCAGTGATTTGCAAGGCATGATTGCATTATACAGAATTATATTATTAACCTACTTACAATAGAGGTATCTTCATGGAGTTTTTTCTTTACATTTTCTGTTCTAGGAGTTCAGGGCTCATAATTAGATATTTTTCTTTTTCACTCCCCTACATTTTATTAGCCTCTCTAATTAAAAAAAAATGAACACCAAACCCCAAAAACAGCCTTTGCTTTCATTTTCATGTGTTTCCCTGAAGATTTTCTAAATACTCAAGCCTGCCCTGTGTCTCTAGTTAGAAGCATTGGGCTCACTGTAACATGACAGTGGATTTAGTTCCTAATGTGTCAGGTGGTTTTAGGGCTGATTATTTGTCATCTAGAAGCAAGAAGATGAACAACCTTGAAGTCACAAGTCAAACCATCTGTACCTAGATCCACATTACAGGAAACACAAAATAGAGAACACATCCAAGGGAATCAGATGCAATCAAAAAGTTTAAATTTCCAATAAAATGTTAAATATGTCCCAACTATTTTATGGTTGAACCTTGATTATAAATTGGCTGACTTTTGTTATCAGTAAGGAATTCTCATTTAGCACTTACCAGTTATGTGGAGAACAGATGCAGCCTCAGCTTTTCCAAGAGCATTGGTTGCTCTGCAGGTGTAGGTTCCTGCATCTCGGTAGGAAACATTGCTCAGAAATAAAGAGCCATTCAAAACCAAGGAAGAATTGATTTGTAAAACATTCTTCTTCTTCAGCCATGTTATATTTGGTTTGGGAACACCTTTAAAATGAAAAGAATTAAAACATTTATTGTGAGAGATAAGCCATAAAGTTTGTGTTGCTAACTGCTACCATAGCATTCAAGAATCCTGAGCTCCTTTGTCCTTTCACAGAGTGTGAAAACCTAAGCAACAACATTGCAGTGAAACAAGCAGTTTTCACACTCACAAGAAAACATCTCAGTTGTGAGCCCTATCAATAATTCAGCATCCCACTAAAAATAAAGCTCAAAGGTTAAATTCTGCAAGCCCAGCTCAAAGACAGCTTTACAGACTGCTCCCAGTCCTACAAAAGCAATGTGCTCACACACCTCACTGAAAGATGTGACACCACTAAACCCAGCCAGGACCAGCTGATGGAAAGCTCTGCACAGTACCTTCTCATTCAGCCTGCCTCCCACAAGGAAGGAAGGGCAAAAGGGAAGAAGAAAGATTGAATTTTTTATCAAAAATTAGGAAAAAAAATTGGGGTAACAATATTTGTCTTGAAGAAAAAACTGGATTAGAAAATACATGTGGCAAATTTATGCCAAAATAGTTGTGACAAGTTCTCCAAATTGCAGATGTGATCTGAACAGCTTGTAATGACAGAGGGTGAAGGGAACAGAAAGAGCTATTAATAATGAAAAGAGGGGTTCTCTTATTAAGCAATCTCATTACAGTGGTACAGAAGCTGAAGGTCTACCATCATTGCTGCTATAGTGCTTGAACTCTGAGAGCCTCAGCTCTTGCAGATAACTTGTCATTTTCAATTTTAATCAGTAAATTACTTGGAATACTAATTTTTATTGAAATTATTTTTCCACTGGCACACTACCAGTGGCAAGACTGTTTTATTTTCCTCAAACACTTGCCTTTAAAAAGAGATTTTGCAAGTTGGCAAATCAGACACCTCATTGATGTTCTCTGGTTGAGCTGCTCGAGCAGAAATGCTCTTTCCAAGTTCCAAAATCCTGGGGAAGCCACAGGGTAAGTTGGCACATGTGGCACATGGACCAGCCACCGACGTGCACAAAAGTGTGGGGATGGGACAAGTCACAGATGGAAAAAATCTCTCACCTGAACCCTTTTCTTCACTAAATAAATGGGTCAGTGCTCACTGAAGGCTGCTAAGCTAGGTTCTGCTGCAGGAGCTGACTCCAATGTGGGACATTTGGAAGCTGCAGCCATCCTGAATGCTAATTCAGGCTCCTCTCCTCACAGATCATTGTGCAGTATTACTTTACAGATGATGTCTTCATGATGTGGAATGGCCTTTAGGAACAACTTTAACATTTCAATCACTGGCTTAGCACTTCCAATGCACACCTCAAGTTTTTCCTTTGCTGTAATAGGAACCAGACATATTTTTTGGAACCTGCTATTTCACTGAAGGAAAAAGCTCCCCCCGCCATTTTGTCTAGAAAGGCAGTGGAGAGAAACACTCTCTGGGTAATCACAGACTTTATTCTAGACAATTTAGCAGTTGTTCCATGCTTTTAAACTCGTGTAGAACTGTGTTTTACTGAATAAAGCTGATTAAAACAAGATCTGCAGAGTGCACGGCGGTCCAAAAACCAAGTTGTTTTTCAAGTTTCTAGAAGAAGCTTTATGCCACTTTGAAAAATCCATCTGGAATTAGGATGAGGTCTTGGTTTAAGGGTCTTTTTTCCATTTTACCCAGATTTCTGGCTAAAGTGTGTAATTCTCAGACATTTTTCCTTTACGGTGTTATTTCCACAGCCATTCAGGCATATACTTACTCTGCAGATGGGCTGAGGAGGTGGTGTGAGGATCTGAGCTGTTTTGCTCTCAGACCTAGAGGCAGACTACCCTCACTGGCACCAAAGCCCAGCAGGCCAATCAGAGCCAAAAAGAAGCCAGAAGCAGCACAGCTGAGATGGGACTGTAGTAAAAAGGTTTAAACTCAAATTCCACAAAACACAAAAACGCTTGGAATGGTTCAAATTTAAACTTTTAACCTGAGCCTCTATCAAACATCAGTGCAATATCACCTCATGCTAGTCCTCCCTCTGCTCTCATGACAGCATTCAGGAGTGTAGCTCACTCCCAGGATTTAACTAAAGTCAAATATTTTTCTTCCAAACGCTTTATAACCTAGAGCTGTCCCAGAAAAATCGCCATGTCTCTATTCTTCTACGTGTGCCTCATTCAGAGAGAGACATGTAGAGCCTTTAAAAATGCAAACTGGAGTTCAGTGTGCACAAGACATCTGCAGAATAGCTTTGCCACTCATTTTAAGTTCAAAACTGGGTATCTGTCACACACCTTAAACTCAAGTTATAGCAAATGATTCCTCTTTCTTTCTCCAAAGAGCTGTATTTGTTTCTCTTTAGGGAAAACAAGTGAGTAATACCACACACACAAGTAAATCAGGCCATTACTCAAGTGAATAACGTGAGCACACAAACATAAATTGTAGGTCTGAGGAGAAGTGCAGACAGAGCCCTGCACCAGAGGCCAGCAGCCAGCCCAGCTGTCATGCACCAGGAATCCACCCAGGCCATCCTAGGGGTGCTGGCAGTGAGAGATAAAGAGTGTGGGAGGGGGAATCCATGGAAAACAAGCAGTTAAACAGATCACATTAAAAGCTGTTCTCCAGCAGCTGATGCTACACGGACACTCTCGGGGTGCTCCCATTGAGGGGAGATGTTTGAGCTCAAAGCAGCAGTGGGGATAATCACAACACCCCTGCACTGTATTTTACCCAAAACTATCAAGGAGTAAGATTTTATCTAGGAGTTAATTATTGTTATGTGAACTGTGTGCTGAGCCCCTCTGAGTTGGCCGCTTCACAAGCATTTTGAGGACCCTTCAAGATTTTGCATTTCATGGTTCCATTTCTTTTCCCACCTGTGTATTACACAGAGACCAATTCACTGTCTGAGAGTGAGACTGGGAAATATTGGACTGTGTGCTTAAGAACAAGTGGTATTTGTAATCAAGCTCCTTCTCTGACCTCTTCACTGGCTTTTGGTTAGGTTGCCTTTAGCAGAATTAAGGCAAATGTTCAGACTGAGTCCTAAGCTAAGGGAAAAAGAAGATTCTTTTAGAGAATTCAGGGACCTATTAAAGACTGGAGTAGAGCATGAAGAGAGGAGAAGAGAAGAAGACTCTGCAGGCAGGACACAGCTCTATGCCAGAAATCAGGGCCTCTCACCCTGCCTTTCAGGAGAACCCAAGACTGTGATAAAATGCTTTCAGAGTTGGGCATCCAGAGAGACACAGTGGAGAAACCACTCAGAAAAAAGGCTGATATCTCCTAATACACCCTAGAAGCAGATTAAAGAAATAAAGCTGGAGAAAAAGACATCCCTACAGTCCAGCTCCTTCACATTCTTGGGCAAAGCAGTACAAGCATTTCAAGCCCTTCTGGACAGCTTCACTTTATCTGTACGTTCCTCTGGCCAGTGAAAAATCCTTTTCTGCTGTACATCTCATGAGAGACAGAGTTCTTGTTTATATTTTCATTTCTGGAATTCCAATCAGGAGAAACTCTTACTGCTAGAGGACACTTAGGAAAACCAGCTTTAGGTGTGCATTTAGTTTTTTGCTTAGGAGTACCTTGCATAAAACTCCATCTCATAACCCATCACAACCCCAGCATGCAGTCAGCATTAGCACATTTCAGGTGCAACACCTTCCACTGTGCAGATTTTCAGTGCCTTTTCTTTAGAAATTAGACTCCATATTTACTGCTCCTGAGATAAGATTTCCCTTCCCTACTGATAAGCAGCTCTGCACACTGAGCTGAGTCTCAGCTAAGAGCTCCTGGGAAAGAGCAGGCAAAGTACACAATTCCCACATTCCTCTTGTGACAAGGCTCTTCCAGTTGCACTGTGAAAAGCACCAATTTTCCTACACAGAAACTGCAGGACAGAGTTCAAGTATACCATCAAAACCAAGAAAAAGTTCATTTTTTTTCCCTAGGCAAGTAGTTAAGGCCTAAACCCTCAGTTTTACCCTTTAGAACTCGTGTAAATACAAACCTATGAGCCTTTAAGCAGTTTTCTCATACAAGGAGAAACGAAACTAAACAAAAATAAGCCAAAACCAAGTTATTGATTTTTATTTTTTCCTTCCCTTAAAGGAGCTGAAATTGCTCCTAAGCTTTAGGACATATTTGTAGGAATTCATGGAGGATTTTGTCCTGTGCACAAGGTTGAATTTTACTGCAGATGCTTGACTCTTGCTTACTTAAAGATTGATTTACACAGGGACTTTAAATAAACTAAAATAACTTCCACACTGTCTTCAGGAGCATTTGTTTATTACAGAATTGCAGCAAGAAGAGTTACAAACTGAATAATTCCTGGTTTGACCCCCAGAGAGCATGACAAGGGGAAGGAGGAAGATGGAAGAGATGGCCTGTAGCCACCTTTGTTTCCTTCCTACCCCATCTCCATGCAGATGCAGCTGAGGATGAGCCCAAAGACTCAACTCCCCCAAAGTGCCAAAGGCTCAGAATCCCTGAGTGCAGTCAAGATCCCCAGGGTTCAATGGGAGATCAGTCACTGGATCCAGAGAGCAGCACAATCCAACAATTATATCCTACAGCTCCAAGTCAGGAAATCACTTAGGCATGAGACTAAATCCATCCCTATCAGGGAATGCAATTAAACACATACTTAAAATTCAGGATGGCTGTAATTGTCCTTCATGAACAAAGATGCATTCCTGAACTCAGGCCTTCTTAGTTTTCAAAAAACCTTGAAAATGCAAATCTTACTCTTACAACGGATCTAAATCCTCTTAAAAAGTTCTTCTATAGACCCAAGTGGCTATAAAACTTTAAAATTAGTTTAATCTATTTTTCTGACCTCAAACACAGGTTATTTTCCACTAGCACTGGAGCAGCTCTACAATACTCAATGTTCCATGAAAAAAGTCATTTTCCACCATGAGTGGCCCTGGGACAGCAAATGTTATGGAAAAAAACTCTAGCTCCGGATGGGACTGCAAAACATGTGTTTAAAAAAAGAGAAAAAAAGGAATCTGCACT